TAGAGAAGTTTAGAGGCAGGGCAGAGATTTGAATACATCAAAATGGCGTTCGGGAGAGGAACCTTTGTATATAAAAACGCCCACGCATCCAAACATGTGTAAATGCGCCTAAGAGCTAGGAACATTTAACATTTGAGAGTTTTTTAATTTCAGTGGTCAGAATAAATTAATATCCAGATCAATTAAATCAATGCCCACAAAGCTTGATGCACCAAAATGAGTTTGCAAAAACATGGCTTAGGTGCGCTTTTGAAGCGGTTTTTGTTCTGCTATAAGAAAAGTGTTTACAAAAGCATGTGCATGAAGCCTACCTCTTGTCAAGGTGCATAAAAACTGATGTAGTCGTATACCTATGCATGGTAAATGTGTGCATTTTTTATAAGTTTTTATGCAAGTATATTGTGAATGAATCCTTAAAGTGTTACTAAACCCACATCAGTAAAATCAGTCTGTATATGCAGTAATGCATGATTGTTCTACTCACTGTGGAATCTAAGGGGTTAATCCTCTACATTGTGTAAAAATGCTGTTTGATCCTGACTTCTCTGATCCCTCTCTTAACTCCTTATATGACTTAACGTGTGGAGTCACTCTGTACATGCTCAGTTTGGTGTGTCTTGCTAGAGAGTTTTTTTTTTTCATGGGAGAGTGCATGTGATCAGCACAGGGCCAATCAGCACTGTCCAGACAGAGGTCAGGGGTTCTGTATCCTCCTAGAACAAAATGAAAACTACTGCTACAACCTTTAACCAGTGCTTGGCTGGACACTGATAGAAGTCACAAGACTGCTCTAACTGGTGATGAGAAAAGGTATTTAGCAGTTTATATTTACTAAAATAGTTGCATTTCCATGTTCTGTGTACTGTGGGAGACCAGATATAGTGAATGCAGGGTCCTGGGTTTAGTAACACTTTAACTAGTTGCCGACCGCAGATAGCCGAATGACGGCTACACTGCGGCCGGCCAGTTCTGGGAGGGCGTCATATGACGTCCTCTCAGAACGCGCTCCCCTGCGCGCCCCCTATGGACACAGCTGATCACGTGATGTGGTAAAAGGCCAATCACAGCGACCTTTTACCACGTGATCAGCCGTGCCCAATTGCCGGTTCTCGGCTGCACTTACAGCGTGAAAAAAATACTGCCGAGAACCGGCAGTTGTCAGAGCAGGGATCGGCACTGATCATCACGGCACTGATGATCAGTGCCCTGATGATCAGTGCCCAGCAGTGCCACCCACCACTTACGCCTACCTGTGCCCAGCAGTGCACCCACCTGTGCCCAGCAGTGTCACCCATCTGTGCCCACCAGTGCCACCCACCTGTGCCCACCAGTGCCACCCACCAGTGCTGCCAGTCAGTGCCCAGCGGTTGTGCCAGTCAGTGCCCAGCAGTTGCGCCAGTCAGTGCCTAGCAGTGCCACCAGTCAATGCCTAGCAGTGCCACCTATCAGTGCTGTCTATCAGTACCCATCATCAGTGCCACCTATCAGTGCTGCCTATCAGTGTCGCCTATCAGTGCCACCTCATTAGTGCTGCCTATCATTGCCCTTCAGTGCTGCCTATCAGTGCCCATCAGTGCTACCTATCAGTGCCCATCAGTGCCACCTATAAGTGCTGCCTCATCAACGCACATCAGTGAAATAGAAAAATTACCTGTTTGCAAAATTTTATAATAGAAACAAAGAAACTTTTTTTTCAAATTTTTTGCAATTTTTTTGTTTATAGCGCAAAAAGTAAAACACCCAGCGGCGATTAAATACCACCAAAAGAAAGCTCTATTTGTGAGAAAAAAAATGCTAAAAATTTCATATGGATACAACCTTGCATGACCGCGCAATTGTCAATCAAAATGCGACAGTGCTGAAAGCTGAAAATAGGCCTGGTAAAGAAGGGGGTATAAGTGCCCGGTAGGCAAGTGGTTAAGCAGTAGACAGTAAACAGTAGAAAGAACCTCGGCTGCTGGTCTAATGCCAGGGAAACAATAGCGAATAGCAAAATATATCTAACATGAATAATCGTCCTATCCCGGGACAGGCTGGCTGTAGTCACCATCAAATACTTCCAAGCACAAGGATCATCACCCAGTTCATCAGAAGAGCATGCCACATCTACACTAGCTTTAATATATTTTACAAATTTGTTAAATAAATCTGACACACAGCATTGTAACAAATGTGATGTTAAAGAAAAGGCTATACTGTTAAAATGTATGGATTTTACTTATAAATATTGGTAAAAAGGTTATGGGTGTACATACTATATCTAATTGTAGTGTTTTAATCACTGATTGATATACTGTCGATTGATTGTTGGTTTAGTAATGTTATATTGTCTACTATAGTTAAAAATTGGATTTTTTTAAAGAGAATGATAAAAAGGGCTAGTAAATAGGTAAACAAAAGTCAAAATTAAAACTTGTAACAGCTTATTTCCTTCTTGTCATTTGCATTATTTTGATCTGTGTTTGCCTATTGTGACAGTCATGTTTTATAATAGAACAATTCTACTGCCAGCAAAGAGGCCAGAAAGAAAAAAAAAACACAAGAATGGGAAGCCTGTGAGGCTGCAGCTAATAAAATGGATCCAGTAAAGAGGGAAAGGTCTCTCCCTGCTGGTGACATCATGAACAGCAAGCACTGGAGGCCAACAGGAAAGCAACATTGTGCTGGTCATGTCATCAGTTAAATCCCTTGGTTTGTGGCTTGACCAATTATCAAAATAAATGCTGATAGACCACAGAAGTGGTTAATGGAAAGAACACAGCTGTCAGAAGAACTGTAACACTTACATTCATTTAGGTCATTATAGTGGCTACTGAAAAAAATGTAAATAACTATAATCAAATGGTAACAAAAAAGGCCGGACAATAAAAGTATGGCAAAAACTAGCGGATTTTTTGGGCACAGTAAGAGACCACACAATAATACACATACAACCATTTATTAGCATAAAATAGTCATATACCATGTATGAGACTCACAATACATACATAACCCCCAAAAAGGGGCAGAGGGGAAAGGGACACAGGTAATTACAAAATAACTCCCTTTCATACATCATAGTCACCTAAAACACAGGTAACAGATACAGAGTAAGAGATCAAAAAACGGACCTGCGGCAAAGTAGCCTGGGGACCGGGCATAAAAGACCAGGATACGGACAAGTCATAAAAGATTCAAAGGCCAGATATATTGTAGGTAGATCAATAGTCATAGACCATGTCCAATTCCAAGAGACACAAAACCCTACATAACCCTGTTAACATGTTTGTGTGGCAAGCTAACGATGAGGGGCCAATATGCAAATGGACAGGAAGGAAGAACTTCAAGATACAATCTTGTGGTGAAAAAGACTAGATGTAATGGCAGGATCAATGGCCCAATATGGTGCATTTAAAAAAAAAAAATAAAAAAAAAAAAGATATTGCCTTAATGTGGAATCCATATAAAGAGAAAATGTAATGAGTTTTGCAGCAAACCCCTATTAGGTAGCCCCATGAATCTAGAGCACGCCATGCACCACTGGGCACCCCTGCCGCGCCAAACACTGGCGGCCACGTGTGAATACCCCAGCAAACGCCTATTAGGTAGCCCTGAGAATCTATAACCCGCTGCTCCAAACACTGGCGACCACAGTATTCACACGCGTCCGCCAGTGTTTGGTGCAGCAGGGGTGCCCAGTGGTGCATGGCGTGTTATAGATTCATGGAGCTACCCAATAGGGGTTTGCTGCAAACTCATGAAGTTTTCTCTTTATATGGATTCCACATGAAGGTAATGTCTCTCTTTTTTATGCACCATATCAAATATTGGGCAGTTGATCCAGCCATTACATCTGGTCTTTTTCACCACAAGATTTTATGTTGAAGTTCTGCCTGCCTGTCCATTTGCATATTGGCCCCTCATCGTTAGCTTGCCATACAAGCCTATTAACATCTTCAGGAGCCCCTACTTGTGACCTTCCTAACCTCCATATATGTAGGGTTTTGTGTCTCTCTTGGAAATGGACATGGTCTATGACTACTGATCTATTTACAATATATCTGGTCCTTGAATCTTTTTTTATTCGCCTGTATCCTGGTCTCCTATGCCCGCTCCCCAGACTACTTTGCCGTAGGACCACTGTGCTTTCATTAGCACTATTCTCCCTTACATTCAAGCTACGATCGTGAAGAAGCCCAACGTACAGGCGAAACGCATTGAACGTTTTTTGATCTCTTACTTTGTATCTGATACCTATGTTTTAGGTGATTATGATGTATGCAAGGGAGTTATTCTGTAATTACCTGTGTCCCTTTATGTATCGTGAGTCTCATACATGCTATATGACTCTTTTATGCTAATAAATGATTGTATGTATATTATTGTGTGGTCTCTTACTGTGCCCAAAAACTCCGCTAGTTTTGCCGTACTTTTATTGTCCGGCCTTCTTTCTTCTTCTTATTATTATTATGTGGCACTAGGAAGCTCTTTTGTTATTTTTTATAATCAAATGGTTAATTTACTATGATGGTGAATAGTTATGAAATTCCTATTTCACCTAAACCTAGCTACAGAGATTACCCACTAGCACAACTAGTTGAATTTATCATGGCAATCTGAGAGACCTTCACACAAATAATGGAGGCAGGAGGTGCCAAACAACCTTATGCCAAACCTGATGGTATTTGACTTTGTGTATATTTCATTTTTCAATCACAGGCTATAGAACAGTCTGTCACTGGTTGAAGAAAATGGGGTTAATCAAGGTATGCACACTGGTGAGACAAACACACACACACACACGTTACAATCTGATTGTACAATATTCTTTATATTTACCAGCAATGATGTGCAAAAGCCTACTGAAGCATTTCTTATCATTGATATCCAATCTTTTAGGCCCTTGCACTACATAGTTGCTGGCAAACCTAAATGAGATTAGGTTTGGAAGGAGCTTTACATTTTGTTAATGAGTACAGTACAATGAAAGCATCCTCAAACATGTTACAGAAGACACTTACCTGTGGTTCGTATTTTTCCACTGTGGCCAAGTGAGAAGAACTGTCGTAGCCACCAACAGCATACAGATTACCATCTAGAAAGATCAGAAACATGAAAGCACACATTGGTTGTTGCAGGTACCATACAGAGACATATTATTGGGTCTTCTGCAAATCATAATTTCACGGTAAAGAAACAAAGCTAACCTAGTGTTGCCACTCGGACATATCTTCGTCTAGTGCTCATGGCAGCTATGGACGTCCATGTTCCTGTGAGAGGGTCATACCGCTCTGCACTGCAATGAAAGCAGAATGTCAGTTTTCTATCAGATTGGATATCAAAGTGAAAACAAAAAAAAAAAAACACCAACAACTTTTGAAGAGACAGCTATGAATGCTATCACTGCTAACCTCCTTTTGAACATATTAGATCTCTGGCTACCATGCTGATACAACCTGATTCACAGACCTAGAAAAAGTATGAGAGGTTTTGCATTCACTTGCTGAGTCATAAGAGTGAGCTCTTTCTTGGATTTAAACCCCCTCACATGTGCTTTCTCTCCCCTGATGTAGTAGCTCAGAATTTGAGAGCTCACTCCTATGATGGTGAAGGTGAGCAGTAACACAAGGCTTCTCTTAGCAACATCCTTAGCAATGTCCTAGAAGCTTTCCAGTTTGGCTTCATGAGGTATGTAAATGGCCTACAGCTATATTCAACTTTGGTCAGAGCTGCACAGATTTTTTTCTACAGATGTCCCTTATTTTCATAGGCCTTAAAGGTGAACCAACCACTTAATGCTAAAGCCTAAAATCCAAAGGGCACTACACTAATGATATCCTAAGTACTTGAAGACACAACAAGGTCAGGTTTACTTAAAAGAAAAATGTCAGTAGGAAATGTTTGGATCAAGATCACAGTACCTGTTTAAGCAAGAAGCACCATCATAGCCACCTGCAGCATAGAGCAGACCATGAAGTACAGCAACTCCAAGACAACTGCGACGGGTTCCCATGGAGACTTCTGGCTGCCAAGTGTTTGTTACAGGGTCATAAGACTCTACAGTAGCAAGGTCAGATGTTCCATCATATCTGTTGCATGAAATATGGCATGAATATTAGTTCATTTTATAGGAAATCAACATGTTCTATGTATTGCAATCAGTGTCTGGCATTCTTACCCTCCTACTGCATACAGTTTGTTTCCAATAGCTGCAACTCCCACTCGGGCCCTTCTTGTAGACATGGACGCCACCATGTGCCAGCGGTCAGTACGGGTATCATACGCTTCACAGTCACCATGTATGGCAAACAGGCTCCCACCACCTGCAATGCAACAAATACAGACCTGTGCAATAGGAAGACATTTTCTATTTGTAAACAGCACAGGTTTTTTTCTCATATTGCTCCACCTTTAAAGTGTATATAAACCTCTACAATACCTTCTCCCTACAAAGTACAAAAAAAAAAACAAACAAAACAAACAAAAAACAATAAAACATCTGTTGGCCAGATGAGAAATTCAGAGCTGTACTGTGCACGCTTCCTGACTCAAGCAGTCTAATTAGTCCTAGTTATAACCTTGGAAGAAAACTAGGCAGGGCTGACACCATTCAGTCCACACAAAATGTTGTGTATTGTCAGTCCACAGTAGTAAATTAACCACTTACCTACCGCCGTATAGCAGATATACTGCTATAGGGCGGCCGCTGTGCGCAAAATCATGTATCTGATTGCTGCAGATGTCAATCACCTGGTCCCGGCCACCGTTCTCAGCCGGCACTTGGTGATCACCGCTAAAGCTGAGAGGGGAGAAATCTGTGTGTAAACACAGATCTCTCTCCTGTCAGCATGGACATGGGCAGAGAAGAGAGAGAAAGCAGCATGTCTCCTTAGTAAATCAGCACACAGTTAACAGCACAGCACAAGACACAGTTAACCCTTTGATCGCCTTAGATGTTATCGCCTTCCTGCCCAGTGTCATTAGTACAGTGTCAGTGGTTTTTATTAGCACTGATCACTGTATTAGTGACACTAGAGATGTCAGTGGCCGTTAGTTCCCACCAAGTGTCAGAATGCCCACCGCAGTCTCACTATAAGTCGCTGATCGCCGCCATTACTAGTAAAAAAAAAAAAAAAATTTACAGTATATATGCCGGCCATTTGTAGATGCTATTACTTTCACGTAAACCAATCTACACGTTTTTTTTTTACAGCAAAGACAGTAGAATACATTTTGGCTTAAATTTATGAGGAAATTAAATTTTTTTATTGGATATGTCTTATAGCAAAAAGTCAAAAAAATAGTTTATTTTCAAAAATTGTCAGTCTTCTTTTGTTTATAGCGCAAAAAAAAAAAAAAACCGCAGAGGTGATCAAATAAAGAAAGCTCTATTTATGGGAAAAAATGACATTAATTTCCTTTATGTATAGCGATGTATATACATCGCAATTGTCAGTAAAAGTAACACAGCGCCGTATCGCAAAAAAATGGCCTGGTCAGGAAGGGGGTAAATCCTCTGGAGGGCAAGTGGTTAAAGTGGAACTTCACTCTCCCAATTAATATTGACTATTTTATTATGCTGCTAGCATTAGCAAATAGATTGGAAATTATTTTATATTTACTTGTTTTAAAGCATTTTTTATGCTTTTTCAGTTACTTCTTGATTTCTTGCCTAGACAGATGATGTCATACATTCCAGGAGTCTTCTGGAAGGGGAGGAGAGGATTTCTCAGCTAAAAACACACTCTCCTGCTTGTATGCCTGAACTAAGGGCAGATATATTCCAGGATGTCAATGCTACATGACTCATTTTCCCTTACTCAAGATGGTCGTGGCCATAAATGGTAGAAGGGTGTTTTTCAAAGTGATTTCTCAGCAAAATAAAACATGGACACATGGACGGATGGGGGTGTTTGCTTTGAATATTAAAATTAAGTAAAATAGCATTTTTGCTTTGTGGTGCTCAGATGCAGTGTAGTTCCACTTTAATTATGAGCTGAATGCTTTTCTGACAGACAGGTATTCTTCTGTATTTCAGGGCCTTTAAAAAAAATAAAACATGAGCAGATGAAATGTGTAGAGATGCAAATTTTGCCCTGATATACACTTTAACACTGCATAATAACATATGGCTTAAAAGGTCAATCTAACTAAAAATGATATTCTAGCACAGGGCTCAAAATTTCATGTCCTGAGCTGCTAGCCAGCTCTTAAGAGTTACTCGCCTCAGTTGCCCCACCCAACCCTTAACCTGCCTTGCCCCTAATTCCGCCCCCTAGACACGTAAAATTATCTCATGAAATGGCACAGTTAAATGTTTTATGCAGAATAAAGGAAATGGAAGGAAGGGAGAAAGGGAGTGAGGGGTGGAAGGGGGTGAGGGAGGGAGGGGGGGAGAGAGGGGAGAGAGAGGTGGAAGGGAGGGAGAGGGGAAGGGAGGGAGAGGTGGAAGGGGGGAATGGATGGGAAGAAGGGAGGAACAAAGGAAGGATCAGGGGGGGGGGGGGGGGGGTTGGGGGGGGGGGAAGGGAGGGAAGGGGGTGGGTGTGGGGGGAAGGGGGGGTGTGGGGGGTGGGAGGGAAGGAACAGGGGGAAGGGAGGGGATGGAGGGAAGGGGGGGGAAGGGGGGGGGGAAAGGAAGTAAAGAAAGGAGAGGTGGGGGGAAAGAAAGGAGGAAGGGGGGGGGGGGGGGTGAAAGGGAGGGGGGGGGGGAGGGGGGGGGGGGGGTGAAAGGGGGGGGGGGGGGGGGGTGAAAGGAAGGAAGGGAGGGAGGGGGGTGGAGGGAGGGGTGGGGGAAGGAAGGAAGGGAGGGGTGAAGAGGGAGGGGGGGGGGGAGGGAGGAGGGGGGAGGGAGGGGAAAGGAAGAGGGGGAGGGGGGGGAAGGAAGGGGGGGGGTGAAAGGAAGGGGGCAAGGGAGGGGTGGGGGGGAGGAATGGGGGGGGGGAGGGGTGAAAGGGGGGGGGGGGGGGGGAAAGGAAGGAAGGGGTGGAAGGAAGGGGGGGGGGGGGGGGGGGGGGGGTGGAAGGTGGGGAGGGGGTAGGGGGGGGGGGGGGTGGGGGGGGGGGGGGGGGGGGGGGGGGGGGGGGGGGGGGGGGGGGGGGGGGGGTGGGATAGAAGGAAGGGGGAAAAGTGGGTGGAAGGGAGGAAGGGGTGGGTGGAAGGGAGGGAGGGAGGTATGCATGGAAGTGAAGGAAGGGGTGAGTGGACTCACATGGTCACTCAGAAGCACCAAAGCTGTCGGCTGCTCTGTGTTCAATTTCCTGCCAACACATCCTCTGAAGCTGCGCAGACTGGAGTGTGGGCGGGCACAGGTGGAGGCAGAGCAGATCCAGCCTCTCCTTCCTTCTCCTCCCTCCTTCAATGAAGCAGCTGAAAGCAGGAGGGAGAGGAGGAGATGCAGCTTCCAGCTGCTTCATTGAAAGTCATACAGGAGATCGCTGCTTGTCAGCGCTGCACAGATCATACCTGATTGTTCCATGTCTTTCCTGACCACCCCCCCTGTTGTGTGCTCCTCAGTGCCCAGACCCTCCCTCTATCTACCACACCAATAGGAGGCTGAGCACGGAGGAGCACCCGGGGGGGGGGGGGGGAAGAAACGGAATGATCAAGTATGATCTGTGCAGCGGTGACAAGCAGCGATCTCCTGTATGGCTTTCAATGAAAGCCATAAAGGAGATCGCTGCTCCTCATTGCCCCGCTGCCAACCCTCCCACACACCGCTAGTCCCGGCGCTGCTCGCCTTTACCTTGTTTCCACTCGCCCAATGCGAGTGGGCGAGTGGAAATTTTGAGGGATGTTCTAGTAGTTGGCAAATGCTGGTAAGCGATCGCAGTGAAAGTGGGTACCTGCTCCCCAAAAGGTGCTAATTCCTCATGGGGAGTGGGGGCCAGTACTTAAAACAGAACTTACCCTTTTGGGTGGAGCTCCACTTTAATTTTTAATAATTACTTTATAAAGAGTATATATTTCATACCCCTTGGCAGTTTGTCCCAACCAGAACACCGTTAAGACATATTTTCCTCATCTACAGGTATCAGAATTGAAAAAGCGTTTGGAATATTTGTCCTTCAAATAATGTACCATAAAATATCATCCATAGGGTTAAATATTTTGTCGAATATAACAAAAGTTCCTAAATGAAACTTTTTCTTCAAAAAAAAAAAAAAACACCAGCAGAATACAGCAGATAAACATTTTAATTTCTAATCTAATTTTGTTTTCATGCAACCTTCTAACGCAGTTATGCTGCTGAACATATGAAGTGAACAGATGCAGCTGAACACAAGTGAACGGACTGTTCCTATAACCCTCACTGAGGCCACACAAGCTTCGATTTTTTTATCCGATTATTGTGCACTTTTGATCAAAACAATCAAATCTGTGAACAATCAATTTCTTGTTTGACTGATTCCGCTTCGATTAGATTTGCACAAACTGAGTTGATTGGCTAGAGCGGGACATTAGAGATCGGGTTGCACCAATCCGCAGCATTGAGATGCTTGGTTCATGAATATGATCGTATTATGAGATTACATGATGGAAACATAGACAGCATCAATAACTTACGATCTTAAATTACGATCATATATTAACTAGCAATCAAAATCTACTTCACTGTGTATGGAGTATTGATCAAACAGGAATAATCAGTTTACAGTTGACAACCTATCAGAAGTGATCGATTGGAAAAGAAATTGTTCATTTATCTAAGAGTATATGGCCACCATTGCTTCTGCAAACAAATTTAATCTCAATACTGCAGAGTATGCATGAATATTTCTGCAACCAATGGTGTAAATTGTCTTTTACTCTGACTGGATTAATTTTAAATCTTGGTTCCCACAGGTATTAAAAATGAGGGCACTTGGCAAGCAAAATCGAAAGGATTAGTATCTACTAGTGCTTGGTAAAGAATTTTCTCTTTCTCCAGCTCAGGCTGCCCTGAACATTGACTGATGGTCTGGCTATGTCAGATGCTCTAAACTTTCTGAACAAAGTTCTAATTTATTGTCCTTGAGGCTTTTAGGGGGGGCAGACTGGCCAATGGGATTAGAAAATACCCGATTACTGGTTTTAGTGGAAGGAATAGTGCCCTATTGTTGGTATCAGTGGGAGGAATGGTGCCCCATTGTTGGTATTCAAGGTGGGAATGGTGCCCCATTGTTGGTATTAAAGGTGGGAATGGTGCCCCATCAATGGTGTCTTTGGGAGGAATGGTGCCCCATCATTGGTGTCTTTGGGAGGAATGGTGCCCCATCATTGGTGTCTTTGTGAGCAATGGTGCCCCATCATTGGTGTCTTTGGGAGGAATGGTGCCCCATCATTGGTGTCTTTGGGAGGAATGGTGCCCCATCATTGGTGTCTTTGGGAGGAATGGTGCCCCATCATGGTGTCTTTGGGAGGTGTCATTGGTGTCTTTGGGAGGAATGGTGCCCCATCATTGGTGTCTTTGGAGGAATGGTGCCCCATCATTGGTGTCTTTGGGATGGTGCCCCATCATTGGTGTCTTTGGGAGGAATGGTGCCCCATCATTGGTGTCTTTGGGAGGAATGGTGCCCCATCATTGGTGTCTTTGGGAGGAATGGTGTCCCATCATTGGTGTCTTTGGGAGGAATGGTGCCCCATCACTGGTGTCTTTGGGAGGAATGGAATGGTGCCCCATCATTGGTGTCTTTGGGAGGAATGGTGCCCCATCATTGGTGTCTTTGGGAGGAATGGTCTGTGGAGGAACTGGTATGCCCCATCATTGGTGTCTTTGGGAGGAATGGTGTCCCATCATTGGTGTTAGTGGATGGCATGTTGTCCCATCATTGGTGTCTGTGGGAGGAATGGTGCCCCATCATTCGTGTCAGTGGGAGGAAGGGCACCCCATCATTGAAGGAATGGTGCCCCATCATTAGTGTTAGTGGATGGCATGTTGCTTCAAGGGCCTGATAAAGGCCAGCAAAATGCCACATCTGGCCCCTGGGCCACAGTTTGGAGACCACTGCTCTAGACCAGTGGTTGTCTAGAGGGATAGAAACTGCAGGCATTACACAAGAGATGATTAGAGACTGCGGGCATGATACAAGAGATGGTCATACTGTGAGCATGATACAAGAGATGGCCAGAAACTGTGAGCATGATACAAGAGATGGCCAGAAACTGTGAGCATGATACAAGAGATGGCCAGAGACTATGGGCAGGTTACAAAAGATGGTTAGAGACTGTGGACATGATAAAAGATGATCAGAGACGGTGGATATGATACAAGAGAAGGTCAGAGACTATGAACATGATAAAAGATAGTACGAGATGGTAGACATGCAGCAGAAGGCTGTCAGAAACTGTGAACATGATATAACAGTTGTTGGAAGCTTGTAACATGCTTCAAGAGACCGTCCTAGACTGGAGACACATTACACAAGGCTGCTATAACAGGATGGGGATGGGAAAACAGAGATTAGTGTCTGTAGGAGCCCCAAGAGCTGCACAAAAGTGCAAAAGGGCTGCAGGTTTGGCGCCAGAGCTCTAGACCTATTGGCTTTTATAGCAACTTCTCGCATTCTTATCCCTTACTGAAATAGCATTTGAAAGTCAACTAAAGCAGCATTTAAAATCCTGCAAGAGTTATATATCTGTCTCCAATGCTCAATACACATGGCTGATTTGCTTTGTCATAATGCATAGCGTTGGGAAGGTAAATTGCATTTTGGTTGCATCAACCAAAAAGGTATGGCACATGGAAGCATAACATGATATGCTTATCAGGTAGACGACACTTCTATCTCACAGGACTATCATGTAATGGTGTATATGCTTAGCTGTGGCTTTGTTTCTAATCTTTCCTAGAGCATTGGTTTCATGTTATTTCACAGGATTTGTAACATTTGGAAAGCCAGTAAACTCAGTAAAAAAAAAAATAAATAAAAAAAGTTTGTGGCTATATCATCCTTACCTACTGCAAAAAGAGCACAGTGCTGGCCCCTTCACAGCGTCGTGGCCGTGTCCGGCAGTTACTCAGGACCCCTCGCTGTTCTGGCATCAGGTGGTACTTTAGGGCCTCAATCAACAAGTCTTTACATTCTGAGTGATGGCGAACTAGGAGCTCTGTGTCCACACTGCTCATCAGGAAATCCCTGCTCAGCAAGGGAAGCCGCACACACTTCATTAGCTACCAGCAAAACGTAAAAAAAAAAAACCACAATAAAACAAGAGAAACTATATACTTTCAACCTAAAGACTGTATATCATTTATATTAAGAACATTGAATTGATGTCTACTGCAAATATCTGAGGGTTTCAATATTTGTATAAATGATTAGACCTCTTCTCTGACTTTCCTGTCTCCCACTTTTGGCAACAAATAAAATAAAAACTGATAATTGTTTTCTAGTGGCTTCATGGTAAGTAGAAACATAACAGCATGATCAAAACTGCAGCAAACGGTAGTAATAAAAAAAACTGTTATGGCAATGAAAAGGGATCGAAACATGATGCTAATGTTCATGTGGACAGACAGTCACAAGACTTAACGGTTAAGTGCAGCTTCTGCACAAAAATCATAAATGCAAATTTTTTTGCAGGAAAAAAATGTGCATTTATTATTTTTGGCTGCAGAAGCCCGTAAAGCATTGCACCAGTGAGATCTGTCATTATGCTGGCTTGCCCGTATGGCATGTACGGGCAAGAAATACTGACAAGAAGAATCAATGAACTACCATTGCGCTCCTTCCCCTCGGAGGGGAGGGGGCTGCAGAATTGGGAACATATTACATGTTCCACCCTGAATAATGGGGTGGGGGGGGGGGGGGGGTGGGGGACATGTAACATGTTCCCAAAGGTGAACTTATCCTTCAAACCTCGCTGAATTTTCCTCTATGTGTTTGTGTTTAAACATCACAAATTTGTGCTATTGCTGTATATATGTGTTACAAATATATTTTTTTTAAATGCAACTAGTGTAAGTCAGCCAATCAGGCTCCACAGCAATGCATATGTGCTGATAAGTCACAGGCTGACAGTAGGAGACAGCAGAGGGGAAAAAGGGTGACTTATGACTTGGCTGCTGCTCCCTCATTCTCCAATTAGCAGGTTAGGAAGTTAACTAATGTTAACTGTACTGCAATAGAAGCTGTAAACTCAGTGGTGCCGTCTGGTAGGGGTATTTAGATCACAAAACTGACTACACAGAATTACAAATCTTTTTACCAGGTACAATGTTTCCCATACACATATGTTAACTGCTTGCCTGGAATTCATCAATATATACTTTACCGTTTCATAACCAGATATTCTTATTGCTTGCATATGTGCTTTCCTCACCCGAGGAACGTGCTGTCTTCTTCCATCCACATCATGTTTGACCCAGTTCAGGACGGCTCTGTACACCTCTTCCTCTGAGGGGACATTTAGACTGTCACTAGAAATGAGGTCCAGCACCTGCAGGACATGGACACAGAACAAGTACGAAAAGTAGAGCAGATTATTTACTATACATATTAATACATGAGATCTAAGAGTAAATGGATACAGCATATAAATAAATGTGCTACGTGGACCGTTTGTTACTGTCCTATATTTCCAGTCTTATATTTCCCACTGAACATGTGAAGAGCTGATTATTCTGTGGCTGTAGAGGATTACAAATAACTAAGATTTTTGATAATCCTACTGTACTGATTTTCCTGACTTTAGAACAGTTGCAGTGAATGATATTTGAAGTTCACTTATTGGTTGTAAAGGAACTGCGCTTTAAGTTGGATGTACAATTTTGGGCTGATCCATGAAAAACAGAATAATAAATAAATTAATAAAAAAATAATAATGAACAAAATGATAATAAAAAAAAAAAAAACAAAAATGGGATTATGCCCCTAGATGTTAAACAAAAATTAAATAGCAACACTAGTTAGTTGATACAAGGCATATGCAAGTAAAGAATCTTCACCTACTGACATCAAATGTGTGAAACAGCAATAACTGGAGCAAAAAAACTTAATTTGAAAATGGAAATGCTTAAAACAGACTGGGACAGGCAGATAAAGCAAGGTCTCTTCAACATCCTCAGGCCCCCTTCCAGTCTCCATCCAAGGTCTTCCTGGCTGCGCTCTCACTACACTCTCATTGGTTGGTAGGACTACCGTCTTCCTAATAGCCAATCATGTGCTTTCCCCAACATTCACAGGTGGACGGCACTTCCCTGGTCTAGACCTGCTCCACCCCCATCTGCTGCTACAGCAATGCTCCCGGGCTCCCCAGATTCCCAGCCATACTGTCAGTTTGTTGGGTAAGGGTGGAGACTGACAAATTTAGGCAAAATACACACCAGAAAGTAAAGCATGGAGGAAAATATAATAACACATTATACTTACCTTCCATGCCTTTTACAGATATTTTATGGAGCTCTCCTTTAAAGAATAGATAAGGCTTTATGCTGACAGGCAGTGTTTTGGTTTCACCTGTTATAATCCTGAGCTAATTTACTAAGAGATTCAACATCTGTCTGTCCTGTCTACAAAATAATTCGATTATTTTCTACATACCTACCTGTAAAATCCATTTCTTGGAGAACATCACAGGACACAGAGCAGGATATAATCATTACTATCTGGGTTATGCGCCACCTATAGGTGAATGTACACTAGTCGACCAAAACAGACAGGAAGTCCTCCTCTATATAACCCCTCCTACACCGGACATTCTTCAGTTTTGTAGCATGCAGTGAATTCCAGAAAGAGGGGAGGGACCTCTGTGTCCCATGATATTCTCCTAGAAACAGCTTTTACAGGTAAGTATGTAGAAAAAAAATCCAATTTTCTTTATCATGCATCACGGGACACAGGGCAGGCTATAATCATTACTATCTGGGATGTCCCAAAGCAATAAATTTGAGGGAAGGGAGACAACAATCCCAGACACCAAAATCAGCCTGAGGACCTACTCTCCCATCCGTAATAAACTGTGACCAAAAGCAGCATCCTCTGTACCTCTAACAGTCACTTGGTAGAACCTTGTGAGTGTAGAGTATGCACTGAAGACCAGGTAGTGGCAAACCTAAGTCACCAATGTCTGATGACAAATTGCCCAAGAGGCTCCTAAAGGTCTGGTAGGGTACGCCCTTACCTGAAAAGGGTGGGACCTTGCCCTTCAAACCAAAGGCTTGAATGATTAGCTGGCGGATCTAATGAGAAATAGTTGCCTTGGATGCCGCTTGCCATTTCCTGGGCCTTCTGATAGCACAAACAAGGAATCAGACCTTCTGATTAGTGCCTACCTTTTCAGATAGACTGACAGCTCACACCACATCCAAAGAATGAAGTAAATTCTCTCCTGGCGAATGAGGATTAGGATAAAAAGAGGATAGGACAATGTCCTGATTCAAGTGAAAACAAGAAACCACTTTAAGCAAGAAGGATGGATGAGAGTGCAACACCACCTTATCATGGTGCAAGATCAAAAATGGCTTCTTGCAAGAAAGAGCGGCCAGCTCAACACCCTTCTTGTCAAAGTGATTGCAACTGAAAAAAACACCTTTCTATTCAAAAGAACTAGTGGAATATCACAAATAGGGTCAAATGGCTGTTTCTGCAAGATAGCCAATACTAAATCAAATCCCAAGGGCACAAGGGTAGCCTGAAAGGAGGGACCATAAAAGGCCTTTAAGAGAATAAGGACAAAGCTGAAATCTGACCTGTAATGTTGACCAAGGCCAACCTCATTTTCACAACTGACTGGAGAAAAGAGAATCCTCCCAATCACATACTTCCTGGGACACCATCCTTTGGCCTCATACCATGTAACACTTCCAGACTCTGTAATAGATGTTCCTGAAAATCAGCTTCCTAGCATTAAACAGTGTAGAAATAACTGGACTTAAGTCCCCTCAGTCCCTCAAGATCCTGGCTTCAATAGCCACACTGTCAAATTTAGCGACTGTAAAACAGGGTGCCATATTGGGCCCTGAGACAGCACATCTGACTGGATGAGACCATAGACCATCCACAGCTAGATTTACTATATCTGTGTACCAAGCCCTCCTGGGTCAGGCTAGGGCTACCAAGATCACCAGTGTTACCTCCTCTTGGATCCTGCATAAAAGGCGTGGCAGAAGCTGACTCGGGAGGGAAGGCATAAATTAGGGAGAACTGATCCCAAGAAATCACCAGAGCGTCCACCTCAAACACAAGCGGGTCCTTTGTCCTGGACCCAAACTTCTCCACTTTGTTGTTGAACCTGGATGCCAATATATCTATGTCTGTGGTACCCCAACACTGGCAAATTGCTGTGAAAATCTCAGGGTGAGGGGACCACTCTCCTGAAACCAACTGCTGGTGACTGAGAAAATCCACCTGCCAGTTCTCTACCTTCGGAATGTAAACTGCTGACAGAGATGGCGCCTGAAGTTCTGCCCAAGCTAGAATGTGAATCACCTCCTCGTGGTCCATCTGTCTCCTGGTGCCTCCCTGGTGCATGATATAAGGCCGTGACATTGTCAGACTGGATCCTGACCGGATATCCATTTAACCCGATTGTCCAAAACTTCAGAGCAAAGTGAACCGCCCCAAGTTCCAAGACACTGATTGACTCTTCTCTGGCCGAACGCACTTCCCTTGGGCTTCTCCAGGCGAGCCCCCTAGCCAAAAAAAACTGCCATCTATGATTATTATCTTCCAAACCACCGTAAGAAACATCTTCCTTATTTCCAGATTCTGAGCCATAAATCACCAATTCGAACTCCGCTTTACCCTGGGAGACAGACATGTGACCATCCAGAGCTTGGAACTTCCAGACAGACAGAATGATTCCCTGCAATGGTCTTAAGTGGAACTGTGCATAGGGAACTGCCCCAAATGTCAATACCATCTTCTCCAGGAAAGCACAGCCGTATAGATGAATCTCCCTTTCTTCTCACATCTCGCTACTGATCTCTGAGAGCACGTCACTTCCTGGAGGCAGGAACACTTTTGCCTGCACCGTATCTAGGACCAACCCCAAATATTCCAGACTTTGAACCAGCACTAAGGCCAACTTCTTGAAATTTAGGATCCAACCTAGGTGTTCTAGGACATGTACTGCACGAGCCACATTTCGTCTTAAGCTCAGAACAGATTGCTCCCTGAGTAATGGGTCCTCCAGATACCCTAATACCGATATTCCTTAGTAGGCCTAGTACTGAAGCCAGAACTTTTGTGAAAACTTGAGAGGCCATGGCAAGCCTGAAGGGCAGACCCACGAACTGAAAATTATGACTTTCTACTGCAAACCACAGAAGCCTTTGATGAGATTGGAATATTGGTACATGAAGGTATGCGTTCTTGATGTCTATAGATGCTAGAAAATCCCCTAATTGCAGTGAGGCTACTACTGAACAGAAATGATTCCATCCAAAACAAACAGAAATAGGTTCACACCCTTGACATCTATTAAAGGCCTCACGTCTTCGTTTGGTTTTGTAACTGTGAACAGGTTCGAATAGATGCCCCTGAACCTCTCGCTTGATGGCACTTCTGCAATTACCCCTTGGGACAGCAATCGATTGAGCACTTGAAATAAAGATCTTCTCTTCAGCTGGCTTGTGGGTACATTGGACTTTAAAAATCCCAAAACTCCAGCCTGTACCCCGAGAAATCGTGGAAATGACCCACTTGTCCTGGATCACCTTTTCCCATGCACTTGAAAAACTGCAAAAACCTCCCTCCCACCTGCACGAGTGATTAAGAAGGCTTAGGGCCAGCCGTAGTGGATTTCTGAACTCATGGTTTCTTTTGCCCCTGCCTTAAGAGTTGCCTCTAGATCCAACTCCTCGGCAGAATCCTCTCCCTGACCAGGAAGACTCTTAATCAAACGTTTAACACGGTCCTTCAGAAATTGACATATGCCAATTGCAGCCACCGCTGCTTGTGCAGCAGACCCAGCAAGAGCAAAAGAAGCCTTTAGTAATGATTTCAACTTCTTATCAGCATGGTCCTTAAACAATTGGGTATTGTCCACTGGACAAGTTAAATTCTTATTCAAGGAAAACACAGCTGCGTCAACTGCCGGCATACTTTATTTTTTAACACATTTTTCCTCAAATGGAATACAAGAGGAAAAAAAACCTCTTGGGAGGAACAAATACTCTATCCGGGTGACCCCAGCCAGCATATACTATCTGCTCTAACAGCGGATGCAATGGAAAGGCTTGAGCATTCTGCATCGAACCTAAGGAGGAGTAGGAGGCCTCAGAAGCCTGTAATGGAGGCAATTTGAATCCAGAGCGGACCATTTCCACAGTGGAACTTCGACAAGGATTCCTCAGGACCTGACTTTTGTGCACATGTACATGCACTTTTAAAGAGAAAAAAAGAAAAGGGCAAACTAACCAATCCTGCCGCAGAGTTCTGCTAATAAACAGACACTTATTCATCATCCATCTCAGCAGGCCTCATCACTTAAGGACC